GCTAAATACATTTTTTCCTGAAGAGTACCTATGTAGGCATGAGGCTTTGTGAAATTTCAGTGTCCTTGGTCGGTACGGTACGGTCTGGAAACGCGCTCGAACTGTCGAAGGTTCGGCAAAAATGTGAATTTTAGCGTTTTGATAACTTTTCCATTTTCACAATATTCCTGACATCTAAATACACTAGACCCCGTAATATATGACTAGTCCGAAGCAAAATTGTCCAAGGAAGTCAAAAATGACAAAATTGCGATATGATAATTCGTTAGGCAGATATTTCAGTCAGACCTTTTCTTTTCAAATTTTTTTACTGGTTCATTGAGTCAGCAGTGCGTTCCCAAACAAAGAATGTACACAATTAATGTTTTCGTAAAGTGGATGTAGCATATTCCCCTTAATAAATGAAATTTTGCACTCGGGCCTTTGAAATGGCCGGATAGGCCTTTGGATCCAGTAATCGATATTTTGGACCAAAATTGTCATTCTCATGATACTGGCATCGAGTTCAAATTTGTTTTGTGGAGAGAGTCTATAGAGACAAAGGCACGAATACAAAATTCCATTTAAATGAGTGATTACGCTGGTCGATCTCCTTTATGAAAAACATTGATCTTGTGCATTTTTCGTTTCGAAAGGCGTTCGAATTGTCAGCCCCCCCATTGAAAAATTAGAAAAATCACGTTTTGACCATCTGCTGAACGAATTATTATATCGGAATTTGAAGGTTATTTTTGACTTTTTTGAACAATTACTTCACATAATCATTTTACGCTTTCCAATGACAGAAAAGTTACCTGAACGTTAAAATTTATATTTTTGCCGAACCTTCCAAATTTGAGCGCGTCTCCAGTAAAACTTTGAATCCGATATGAGATATGACCCGACAAGCCAGGGGCTTGATTCTAAATGAGTTTCGTCCGTTGAAATTGATTTCGATGGCGCCTTGTGACGATATACTTGATTAACTATGATAATTTTGTCATTGCCATGACAATTTGAATATGGAAGATCAATATAATGAGATGTAAAAATTATCATAGCCAATCAAGTTTATCGTCACAAGGCGCCATCGAAATCAATTTCAACAGTCGAAACTCATTTAGAATCAAGCCCCTGGACGTGGAAATTTAGTTTAGACCTAGATATTTTTTCATCCTTTATATATTCACTCTAGCTTTTATTTTTCAAGTTAAACGACCTATATATTGTTTTTCCCCAGAGCTATCGTGGCCCCACTGAAAACCATTTCAGCGCCGTACGTCTCGTATTAGTAAACCCCGAAATAATTGTGATATTTGGTATTATCCATCCAAGCTTTTCAGGAGAATATTTAACATGGGCATATAAAATAATGGGTAGCTCATTATTTGTGGAAAAACTGTATTCGCCAATAGAGAAGGTGTTTGCTAAAACGAAAAAACTCCTCAAATAAGATTTTTGAGATAAACAAAACAAGGCTACATATAAAAGATCCAATCAAAAAACAAAAAAGGCTGTAGCAGAAAACCTCGCCAAAATGCAGGCTTTGGCATGCAGATATTTGAAATTCCTCATACATGTAGATCCCGTAGTTCTAAAAAACCACCATAAAACTGGACGTGGTCGGTGAGTATTTTATGAGAATATTTAATTATTTATCCTGAAACCCCCTGTCTTCCAGCTAACATCACCAGGTTATGAAACAATAAACTTTCGTTCAAAGAATATTTTAAAGCAAAATGCTCGATTTTACCAACTGTTTTTTTTTTGTGTGAAAATCAAATGGGTACCTTTTTCTTTTAAACCAATTCAAACATTCCGTATTTGTAAGGAGTCGCACACATTTTAAAACAAAGCGAAGGTATTTATTTGTTGCAAATATAAATTAGTTTCTTTAAAATTTTCCATTCTGTTTATAAATACTTAGAGCTGAAAATTGTACACAGTCAGGGGTGAGCTTAAGAATTTATAAAAAATTTCATACTGAAGTGTATAGGTTTGTTTAAAAAGCTCTCATGCATATTCGACACACAATTATGGTTCAAACCAGTTGGTATATAGAAAGTGATAAGATTGATCACTGTATGACTTTGTTGAATAAGTGGGATACGTAATACATTTGCTTTTTTAAAATTCGATTTTATGAGGTTTTTTTTCTAATTGTCCCAATATGACGATACGTGTGTATTTCAAATCACGACTTACTAAAACCATTGTGATTCCAAGGAGTTGGTAAACAAACTATAAAAAGCGAACAATCGGTAGACATAATAGCCAGTTTGAGCGAACTGACCGTACCAAAAATTGTACAGGAAATTCAGTATTATTCATGAATACATTATTCAAAGTTTAAGCATTGTACCTTTCAGGATTTCCGAGGTTATTGTATATAGGAGCTTTTACGCTGTCCCGGATTTATCGATAGGGAAGGAGCGGTATGATGTTGGCAGACAATTTGGCTAAGATACCCGAATAGATGCATATTAGCCAGTAAGAAATTTTCAAAGCACGATAATAAGCACCCTTATATGGAGAATCATTTTCCAACCCAATTAAATAATTCGCCTGGAGAAAACCTATCATAAAACCTATCTTCGAATAAATTTCACTTACGGATTATGATATATGGTATTGAAAGTATTTAATGAGCTAAAGCGTATATGAGAAATTCTTTGGAGGGGTGACGGATAAAAAAATATAAACAAAAACTCATTTTCACACCTAAAGAATGATTACTCTTAACGAGTTATAGGCTAGCTGGCATGGTGTGAGGAAGCTTCTAAACGGATGGCAGATACAAAAATATAAATAAACATTTATTTTCACCCCCAAGGAAATGATTCCCCCCAATGAAGGTCAAAAAATATTACATTATAGATACAATTTATAGGTGGCCTGGTGTGAGAGAGCTTCTGAAGGGGTGCCAGACAAAAAAAATATAAATAAAATTCATTTCCACCTCCAAGGAGATGATTCTCCTGAACGAGTCATACCTCAAAAAAGTGCACTAATATAGAGGTAATTTATATGCTCGGTGGCATGGTTTGAGAAAGCAAAGAGTATTTGAGATACAACTCTTTTTGAGGAATCAATTCCTTAGGGGCTAAAATGAATTTCTTTTTATATTTCTTTATTTGCCAGCGCTTCAGAAGCTTTCTCATGCCATGTCACCTCGCCCATAAATTATCTCTATAATAGACTTTTTTTTTAATTACAACTCGTTTTGAGGAATTATTTTCTTGCAGGTGAACATGAAGTTTTATTTATATTTGTTTTACCTGCCATACCTTCAAAAGCTTTCTCACATCATGACACCTAGCCGATCAATTGTCGCTATAATAAATAGAGTATTTTTTGAGGTACAACTTGTTTTGTAGAATCATTTCCTTGGTGGTGAAAAATATTTTTTAACAATATTTTTTTATCTTCAGAAACTTTCTCGCACCAGCCTATAACTTGACTTTAATGTAGTATTTTTTGAGGTACAATTTGTTTTTGGGTAATCGTTTCTTTGGGGGTGAAAATGACTGTGCTATATTTTTTTATCTACCACCGATTCAGAAATTTCTCAGTATATGCTTTTGAGCTCGGTAAATACTTTCATTAGTTATTTGTCGTAACTTGTTAGGCCAAAGTATCCTTGATATATCTTTGGAAAACCGACAAGAATTTTGCAAATTCTTTTAACTTTAAAACTCAAGCGTTCGATGGTCTATGTCATCATCATCAGGAGCTAAAAAGCAATATAGAAGATAGAAACTATAAACAATTAAGTGACGTTTCATTGCCTACTAAGTCGGTGAGATTGTTGCTGACTTGTTCTTAGAAGAAGGGGGATAAGACCACATAGTAAAAGATAAAAAATGGATACATGAGGTTCATTTAGAAATATTACTAAAAAATCATAGCTCTGTGGGCCGACTGTGTCGTGTGAAGTTGACATGGTTGATTTATGATTGATTGTGATGAGATTATTTTGTTACCTGAGTTGCCTATCTAATCGGAATTACGTGTGGTATTTAAGAGGAGCGTTTGTCAAAGTCCAATATGTTGATCAAAAAGTTGAAAAAATAATTGTTGTCATGGAAAAACGTATATTATATGATACCATTAACCAATCGTAGGTAAAGCGAAATAATTCCAAACTTCAGGTTAAAAGGTAGGGGAACATTTTCAAAACTGTTAAATCATGTGATCCTTGTATTTTCTGTCAAGGAGCCTAACACTACTTTAACCCATATAATGCCCTATGGTGTTAACATGTGTAGCCAACCAAGCACATCTTTCTGGATGCAATATGGAGTCACTTTTTGGGGATGTTAATCTACCTTTTAAAGATCTAGAAGTATGGCCTATATATGTAAGATTGCAATTGTTACAATTGATGGAATTGACAGTATTAGCTAAGCTTAGCAACGGAACAATATCTTTCATTTTGAAAAAAAAACTGTTCACTGTGAAAACTGATTTATACGCAAATCGACAATTTAAAGTGTAGCACAACCTTGACTGTGTTGGGGTTAGTCTTTGATATACAGGGTTATCCAAATTAAGTGTCCACCATTAGTAACTTTGTTATTAGTGAAAATACAAAGTTGTTTGAATTAGCAAACTAGTAGCATTTTTAACGCTGGTAAAAATGAGAAATAAAAAAAAACAATTGAGAGTCGTTATTTTGATTTTTTTCAGTAAAATAACATTTTTTTAAATGGAAACCCCTGTATATTATGTTTTTTTCTGTTAAAGCATCAAATTTTAAACAAAAAAGTTCATAATGACTTTTCCGCTAAAGTCAAAATAACGATAAATATTTTTAATTATTTGCAGTATTATAATATTAAGACGGCTATGAAAACAACATGGCGTTCGCGATTTGACAGCATTAAGATAAGCGACAAATTGTTAAACTGGACATACTCGCAACTAGAAGGCTTTGGAAAACAATGATAAAATCAAATAATATCAAACATTAGTGTAAATACTTGTTTATAAGCTTTATTGTGTCATTAATTTAAAGAAAAATGTTCTCCCATGAAGAAAAGTGTGATATGTTAGAATGCTATTTAGTGTGCAGAAAATCCTCCTTGAGAGCAAGAGAATACTACAGTGAATTATATCCCGTTCGCATTCAACCGTATGAACGATATTTTCTGAGACTTTATCGAAAATTTAGGGGCAACGAAAATGTTTTTGCTAAAACAAGGGCAAAAAAAGAATTCATAATAAGCGAGGCCACGGAAATTGCAGTTATTGGATATTTTGAAGCTTATCGTGAGAATTCAATAGCAGATATTCTCAAGGACTCTAATTTCAGTTATGGTACTGTTCAAAGGATTTTAAAAAAATACAAATTTATTCCGTATAAGTACCGACCAGTTAAAACGCTTTTGGCAGGGGATCCAGAGAGAAGACTTGTTTTTTGCCATTGGTATCTTAGCTTCTGTCGCCAAAATGTAAATAACTTTCGTTACCTTTTATGGACAGATGAATCAAATTTTTCAAATTCTGGAATGTTTAATAGAAAAAACCACCATTATTGGTCAAGAGAAAATCTTTTGTTAGTACATCCAAGAGGCCCACAAGTCCGTTTCAGTTTCAACGTTTGGTGCGGTATAATTGGTTCAAAAATTGTTGGCCCGTTCTTTTATGAGGGAACCCTAACTGGTGAAAGATATGTGGAATTTATGTCAGAAATTCTGACTAATTTCTTAGACGAATTGGATCTTATAAGTAGACATCATCTGCATTTTCAGCAAGATGGCGCACCTGCCCACAACTCCAGAGGTACTTATCATTTTCTAAGTACTACTTTTAATGATCAGTGGATAGGAACAAATGGCCCAATACAGTGGCCTCCCAGATCACCAGATCTAAACCCACTTGATTACTTCTTGTGGGGTTACTTAAAGAACCAAATTTACAAGCGAAGGTACGATAACCTTGACGCGTTAAAGACTGCAGTTACGGAAAAGATAACCCAGATAGATGGTAGGACCATACTTAAGACAGTTCGAGCAGTTGAAAAACGTGCCCAAAAATGTATTGAAGAACAAGGTGGTGTTTTCGAGCATCTTCTTTAAAAAAAATTGTTATTGTATTTTGTAAGATTATAAGTTGATGTTGAAAATAAAGTTTGTCGATACAATTTAATTGTTTCAGATTGGAGGCCATAACTTCAACAATTTGTAACCTAGGAGAAAAGTTATTGTAAGCTTTTTTGTTTAAAATTTGATGCTTTAACAGAAAAAAATATAATATACAGGGGTTTACATTTAAAAAAATGTTATTTTACTGAAAAAAATTAAAATAACGACTCTCAATTGTTTTTTTTTTATTTCTCATTTTTACCAGCGTTAAAAATGCTACTAGTTTGCTAATTCAAACAACTTTGTATTTTCACTAATAACAAAGTTACTAATGGTGGACACTTAATTTGGATAACCCTGTATTGCAGGACTGCAAAACTGATTCTGGAATTTCGGTATTGTTATTGTTGGAGTGCTTGCCAGTAGAATTGTTGGGAGAATTGGCATTACCGTTATCATTATTGTGTAAGATCGGCGTAACATTGGGAGAGCTGAACAAAATTATGTTAATCAGGTACCTCGGATAACCATTATAAATGAACAACGTTGAAAGTTTTCGTAAATTTGAAGCATGGAAAGTATTGTCAGAGACGTCAATTGTTTTCATTTGTTTTACCAAATTCACCTTTATCTTAAGTTTATGGTAAGACCTGAAATTTAGGAACCTGTCTGTAAACATAGGGTTCCTGTACGAGTCTATCAATAAGATATTGTTGTTTTTGCGGATGATTTTTGCGTCCAGGAATAAGACTGATTGATTTTGATCCTCTTTATGGTGAATTGAATGTCGGGATCATAGCTATTGAAGTCTTCAAGACAAAGAGTAATGTCTACATATATATTTTTTTTGAACCGAAGGTTATAGGGCAATACCTGAATAACAATATCAAGCAGGTTATCCATTACATATTCTGCCAATATTGGCGATAACACTGACTCCATTGGACAAGCATTTGTTTGTGAAAATACTTTAATATTAAAAGTGAAATAATTGTTATGGAAAAGATTCTAAAATAGTGATGAAAGATTCCAGAGTTAGATTACAGCATTGACATATTTGATCCCAGTGTTTGTATATGGATCTGATTCAAGCTTCTAAATAGACATTGTTTTAAATCCATTAGAAGTCTTTTGAAAAACACATTTTTTTAGTAATTTTTCTAAATCAACCTTATGCACCCAGTTTTTTTATCATTTTGCTATGTGGTCTCATTCATTTTCTTCTAATAACAATTAGCAACAATCTCGTAAGTAACGAAACATCACTTAATTGTTTTATAGTTGCTATTATCTAAATTTGTTTATAGCTCTTGTTGATGATGGCATAGACCATCGAAGTTTGAGTTTTAAAGTTAAAAGAATACACTTTGCAAATTTTCTCGACTTCCCAAAAACATATCAAAGATACTTTCTCCTAGCTAGTTGCGACAAATAACTATGTTCACTTTATATACCATCATGTGGAGAAAGGTATATTATAACAAATAGAAAAAAATAATGGATGCAAGATATAAATTGGTGAGGTGAAATCGAGTATATTGCTATGAAATGCCATTGAACGAAACGTGAAAATTTATACATTATAACCTGCTGACTGAAAAACAGGTGTTTGAGCTAAACTATTAGAAATTCTCAAAAACTACTAGACTCATCGACCGCAATTCTGTTGTGGTTATTTAGAAGTATGAGATCTACAGATGTGAGGAATTTCAAATATTTGCGTGATTCTACTGTCACATTACCAAGTGTCAAAACCTGTTTTGTTGACTAACTTTTTTGTTTTGATCAGATTTTTTTCGTGTGGCCTCATTTTGTAGTACCTAAATTTTTTTTTCATTTTTGGAAACTTTTTCGATTGAATCAAAGTGTTCGGTTAAATTCTTCCCACAAAAATTGAGCTACCCATTTTATGTGCCTGTCTTAAATACATCACTGAATAACTTGCATTGAGACAAACCTTACAATTATTTCGCAAATCGGGGGATTTTCATCTAATACGATTATAGTAAAGGATCGATATCAACATGGCCAACGCATATGACGACTTGTAACTCCCACAAATTTGTATTATGGGGTCTCATACCTCCTATAGGCTGAAGGGGGCGGATACCAATATGAGTCCAAAGATACATAGTCCCAGGGACAAACCATACACCACAAAGAAGAGAATTAATGATGTAATCTACGACATTTTCAAGGTTCGTCATCGAACACTCCGGGTGGTCACTTTTGATAGACTTGCACCATATGCCAAGGACCACAATGAAGAACAATGACTTCTGGAAGTGTACACTCACCCTACCTCAGAGCTGTCATTTGAAGACTTCATGGGTGTCTATAGAAACATCGCGAAAGGTTTAGGATTACCAAGAAAGAATACCAAGACCGCTGCGCTCAAGAAGAGCTGAAGGCACCAAAAAGCTTAGTCCGAATATTCTCAAAGACGTTTGGGCAAATTTAATAGTTGGAGGCCCAGAGGTCATCAGTAGGAAAATGTCTGAATATGTGAAATGGATCATGGTGCAATCTCTGAAATGCTATACCCAGTTGTGCGGCATCCAGAAATTGGCGCGATGCCTTACGTAAACTGCCGTCAGTCCGCATGGACGTGAAAAATATGATGGAGATGATTTTCCTTGGACTGACATGCAGATTCTGGTCGGCAGCTTCGACGTTCGGTATAAAGACTGTAGCCTGTTACTTTCACTGTGATCTGGACCTCCCACTCCAGAAAGAGGGCTATCGATAATGGCATGATTGAGGTGATAGTGTGCGAGGATGAACACTCCTGAGGAAGGGGAAGTGGAGTGGGAGCGAGAACCCCCTGTATATGGAATAGCTGGAATCGTTCGAGGTGATCACGAAAACATCTAGCAGTGTTTGTCTAAGTAGTCCAGGTAGTATCTTTGCATCTGCTCGGAAAAATATTCTGATTCAGATTGTCTACATAATCTTATTCAAAAAGGGCCTCTTCGAATGAATATGTATGTAGCCATGCCCAACATTGTGTCAGAAATTGTGTGAATAATTTTTTATAAACAAATTCCAAAATTTGATTTTTTTGCTGCGTTCGGTGTTTTTAGTCTTTTAGGATATTCCATGGCTAATGGGACTAGAGTTTAGTACCAAAAAAAAAGACACTTTGGACAAAAACATGCTTTAAACATATTCTCCGAAGTTGGTATTCAATATATAAATTTCATTAAAGTGCAAAATATGACATTCTCGACCTCGAAAAACAATACGAAAAACAAAAATGTTTCCAAAGCCAAAGCTTTTGATTGTTCTTGAAGAATCCATTATCAAAAAACTCAAAGCATTTTAGCGGTTATTATTGTAAATTTTTAATTGTTAATGAAGCGCCCGCTCAATGTATACAGGGTGACTTTGAAGTTGAGTCATTAATTTTCAGATAATGATTGTAGAAGGAAGATAAACCAAAATATGTGTGTAAAAATAAAAAAAAAAAATTTACCTTGTTTTATAAAGTATCCTCCCGACAAGTATTTCAGTGCGGACCTGTATTTGATCGTGAGGTCTTGGAGCACCGGCATGCCGTCCATATGTGAGGTCTTAAGTCAAATGATTCACGAACCCGTTGTACTACATTAACAAAGGCACGAGGGGTTGGTTGCACTCGATTGGGAAACCGATCCGCATAAACATGTGCCATTTTTTATTTCGTTTGAGCCACGCAACAGACACCACTATCCACTACCGACTGACACTGACTGTATACAACTGAATGAAATCATTGTAAAAACATCGTTCCAAATTCTTTCGCTTTTTTGTTTCCGATGCGATGAACCGATAAGGCGAATTATATCCGTTGTCGCCAAACACGAGCACATAATATTATTATTGAGACAGGGCGGTACTCAAACCTCCAAAGGGCTATAACTTTGTTACTTTAATTTTACCAGAAAAATGGTAAAGGAAAAAAACATTTCTTTTGATCAGATCTACTCACTGTTAAAATAAATGACTCAACTTCGAAGGCACCCTGTATATATTTTGTGTGAGAGCGAGGAAGATGCAGCATAGGGGCGCTCATCAGCTACCTGGAAAAAAGCTACATACGTTAAATTTACCTACACATAACCTAATTTTCACAATACATAATCACGCTTCGACTTCATTTGATGCGCTCAGCGGGTGATATTTTTGTGTTGAATCTGTCACTGGCAGTAACGAATCTTGTGATACTCGAGACTATTTATACTGAACGCCGATGGAAGTTTCATTTATTTTCACACACATACTTTCATTGAATGGCGTTTTCCACTGGTATGTACTTTTGTACTATTTACGCGCTCTTTTATTGGATTGCTGGAAACTTGTACACTACGTAGTACTAGTAGTACTAGTACACTAAGTAGTTTTACGTGCACGGCAAGGTATTAAGCCATCACGTCACAAGGGTTCCCATTATTGAATATTTCTCCAACTTTATGATAGGTTGGTCAGGTATGTTAGTCAGTAAGTCGTACTAAAACTGAACACAATTGCACTTTTCTTGATGTTGCCCTACAATGATAACAGCATTGTGTGCATCTAATAATAATAGGAAAATCAATCTATCGGATTTTTCGCGCAATATTGTATGCAGTTGATTGATTTACATGCAAGATCTGGCAGATGGAATAAAATGACAAAAAGAATCAGCTGGTTTGTTAGTGCGCATGCGATTGATCAAGATTTCTTTTGCATATTTTGCTGACTGTGAAAATGGTATAAGAACAAATGCGGTTAGACACAGCTTTAATCAACTGTTTTACAAAAATCTCTGCAAAAGCGTATTTCGCTGAAACTGAGTTGGACACATACATTGCTATAAGCAGATTGGGTACCATGTGCGTAGTTAAATCTGGTAATTAAAATTGCAGATGCGCAAGACGATCCTTTACGCAGCTGTTACTCGCCTTTGCACGCATACGTGAACTGGGTGACCGAGGAGCACTTCATTCA